CATCGTCTCAATGCAACGGCCATTGAAAAAACTTTAGAACCAACATGACCCGCTGACACCAGAACTTTTATCCTCACAGACAACCTATTTTCATAGTACGTTGTCTCCTGCATTCTCATACTTGCTCTCTGCCTCTCAGGTTAGTCAGCATCTTTTATACATCCGTGAGACAATGGAGTTGCATTACTGGAGCAGCATCTCATTTCAATGTTAATGCAGGAACCATTAAGCCTAATATGTGCCTTCCCTTATGGCAACCTCCCAATCCCCACTTAAAACTCTAAGAACAGCGAGCGATTGTTTATAGAGAGCTTGTTTGTCTCGTATCTCCCCAGCAAACCTCTTCTGGGATTTAACAAAAACAATTATAAAGAAAACAAAAACTATCACATTCACAAGAGATTTAAATTTATTCACAGTCTTCTTTTCAGGTTCAGGTCCTTAACGGCAAATACAAATATGTTTGTACCCCGTTTGCCATATATCAATAGAGCTTTTGAAGTAATCTTTGTAAATACTATGCTGATCGTCATATGAGAATGTGGGTGTGCGCGTGGTTTGACTAGCGGACACAAGAGTCTCTCTTTCTCCTGAACACACGCATGAGCACAACGTGCACAAACACACTCGGCCGAGGATGTTTCCCTCAGAGATTAAAGCGACTTAATGGCTTAAAATGACAGTTAACGAGAAGACAGATGATCTGTAGGGAAGCAAGTGAAAATAATAAAAAACAAATCCCCTCCTACTTTAGCCGTCATGACAATGCAGTAGGCAGAGGGAGGGCAGGGGGGAGACTAGTTAAAGCGAGTGAGAAAAAGTGACTATCCAGGAGAAAATGAAGAAACAGATTATTAAGAAGTGAGTAAAATTACATGGAGGATGAGAGGGCAAGATGGAGAGCAGTGCATTATCTATTAATATCTGATGCATCTCCAATCCGAGCACAGTGTTGCTCTTTATAACATACACTGGATTATTGTTCTGAAGAAAACTTTAAAGTCTTTGTCATGCTTGCCGTTCTTTAACACTTTCAGTCTGATGAATTAGTTTTAAAACTGCTGTATTGTTGACAGCAGGGTCAGTGAGTGGAGCCAACTGGGTCTGTGGGTGGTTCTCTGTACTCCAGTTATGTAGCCATCCCAGCAGCTAATACCATGCACAATCAACCCAACTGATTAAATGCCACTTTTAAGGGGGCTATTGGGGACACCTTGATGACACAAAGTTAGCCTCATTTTACCTTCAGATCTTCCTTTGTTCTTGGAATATATTTGAACGTGGAAATGAAAGCCTTACTCTACGGGATGTAACTCCCATGACACTGAAAAACATTGGATTAACAATGAACATATGGTTGTGTTCAAGATACCAAAATGAGAGGATTTTACCTTTGTGACATGGTATATTATTCCATTAGAAATTGAGTACAATGTGGCCATGAAATAATGGAAATGAGGAGTAGCAATACTCATTCATGTACTTCACTTGAGCAATACTTAAGTGAAGTACGTGAGTACTTCACTTGATCAAGTATGGATCCACACCGTACTTCGCAATTGAGACTCTCAGACCAGGCAACGTTTTTCCGTCCTAGTATTGTTAGGCTTGTGTGAGTTGCATCCCCAGTTTCCTGTTTTCAGCTTAAAGGAGAGTTACCCAATGTGGTCATCTGCTGCTGTAGCCCACCGGTTTCAAGGTTCAACATGGCTCCTATTCTATTTTGTTTTTACTCTACCATCTCTGAGATTATTTTCAGTTTGAAATTAATCTCAGACATCAACAAAGCATCTTCACCGAAGATATTTCTCCTTTTTGGAGCCTTCTTTGTAAACCAAAGAAAGTTCCTATGTGTTCATATAGCAGTCTTATAAAGCACTAATGGCCACACTGCATCCAGTTATTTAAATTCTCCTTTCGTCTTAACCATGTTTGCTTCCATGTAACAAGTTGATAAGCCATTTTGCTTTAAAGAGCCACTAAATAGCGATCTAATAAATTGCCAGGTGAGTGTATGTTGAGTTGAAAAGACACTGAACAAATAGTGGTGGAGGAGGTGTTGAGTTATTGCATCTGAGCATAGTACTCCAGCTGTAATTTTACAGACAAATGACAGTGAGGAGAGTCAAAAGGCTACTTGAAGAGTCCTGACTATGTTGGTCACTTTGAGTCATCCAGGTGCGGATTTAAAGAGGTAAACTATCGGTTTCCATGTTAGCTAAACGCAACCAACTTCTGCTAAAATTAGCATAGAAATGATGGCAATGTAGAACGGAGCTGGTAGATCAAAACATTGACACCTAAAATGTAGGTAAAAAGAATTTCTATCCCACAGAAGAAGTAATGGAGACATTTCTTTAAAATTAAGAAGCTTGAGTGCTGAAAACATAATTCATCAAACTGAAAACAGTGGCAATAACCTCAAAGTTTACAGAGAAATTGTTTACCAAAGGTCTTTAGTTTAGACCTAACTCATTCTTACAGATTTTTTTTATTTTTTCCTCTGACAGCCCATAAATATGAGCGAGTGACCTTCCGGTTACCAGCCCATTTCCCCAAATCTAAATTGATGGAAACAGAGCCGTCCAATTACTGTGCCTGGCAGGTCAGGAGGCAGCCATCAGCACCGAAAACACACACAATCCATACATGCTTGACTTATTTGTTCAACTTTGCAGCCTACTGCCTACAACTCACTCACAAAGCTGCACATGGAGGCACACGGAGACAGAAATGTGACTGCCCATAGTCGTGACGCCAGATGATGACTGGGTGAACAAGACAAGTGCTGTCAGCTCTACAGTGAGTTGCTGACAAAACACAGAGCAGCCCCCACCGGATATAGAGCTCCCCCCAAAGCGCAGACTGACCGAGGCATTTTAGGGACCTAACGTGTCTGGCTCATACAATAAAATGACAACAGAGAACAAACACAGCAGGAACAGGCCTAGTGTAGTTACTTTGCTTGGTAAGATTGCCCTAAAACAGCACAGAAACACAGCAAATAGATAAGATATAAATGCGTAGAAAAGTTTAACGTAGGGATATGAAATAGCACAACTGCAAATCGACTACTAACTGGCTATCCACCTAAACCAAAAACTTGACAATGAGAGCTTTAATCAGAAAAGCAGCCAAGAGACCTGTGATAACTCTGGAGGGCCAACGGAGATCACTGGCTCAAGTGGGAGAATCTGTCAACATGACAACAACATTGAATTATTTCCTTTTTGTTAGAGTAGTAAGAAAAAGGCCACTGTTGGAGCAAAGACACAGAAAGTGTTTAAAGGTTGCACGGGGCACCGCAAACACGAGGAAGAAGGTGTTGTGTTCAGATGAGAGCAAAATATTACTTTTTGGCCAACATGTTAATCTAAACAAATCACTCCTATGCTGACACTTTGTGGTGGCAACATCATGCTACGGTACGGCGCATCGATAGCATGGCCAAGTAAGCTAGTCATCTTTGACAGGAAAACGGATGGAGTGTATTTTCAGGGCATTTCTGGAATAAAACATGTTACGTGCTTCTTTTACCAGCTTGACAATGACGACTATAAACATACAACCAGACGGACAATGAAATAGTTTAGACGAAAGTATATTTATGTGGAAACATCCATCCATCCATCATTCCATTATCTAACCTGCTTATCCTTGTGGGTTTGCGAGGGGGGCTGTTCCCTATCTCCAGCAGTCAACGGGTGAGAGGCGGGGAATGCCCTGGACAGGCCTTCATGTAAACATTCAGGCCTAGATTCAACTGAGCATTGAATCTTGAAATTTGAGATCCAAAGAAGGGTTTTGGCTTATCTGGCGGAACTGTAGTGTCTACACTACAGTAGACATGCAAGTTATTCTGGTGTTATAGTGATATTTGGGAAAGTGCCTTTTACTGCAAAGTGAAGTTGACATCTTTCTGGCATCATTAGAACGCAAACAAGCATTGATGTATTTCGCAGGACGTGAAGTAGAATAAGGCATGTCCAGGACCTAGAAATGTTCTGGGTGTGTTATGTGTACAGACAATGTACTTGTCAACAAAGAGTTAGTTCACAACACAGAGAACTCCAGGGTGAGAGACAATAGGTAAGGACCAAAGGGAGGAAAAAAAAAAATCTGCTTTGTCTGGTTTGGCTTCTACCTGCTGGGATCAAACACGGCTAAACAAGAACAGAGTGAAATTAATGGGAGTGACAATGTTCTGTTCGGTGACAGGAAAAGACACAGGCACGAGTCTACGTGCCGTTCAGAGCAGGATGGCGGAGGCAGCCTGCGCGCTCTGAAGATGCTCAGCATCACAGCTCCCCGTTCCGCCAGAGAGTGGAAATTCCGGACAGGAGTATGTAATGACCAAGGTTTCATCAGCTCGTGTGGGAGCGCGCCATGTTGGAGCGCGAGGACGGCTCGCGTCGCATCGCAACACACGCACAGGAGACATCCCGCTTCTCCTCTCTCCTCCATCCACAGCCTGCTACCGGTCAGCCTCTCTCCTCCGCGCCGCGACGGCCGTACACGGCCGGCCGGCTGGCGCCACGGGAGCGTTTACAAACAGAGACACCCAGACACACTCCTCTTTTCTCTCACAAGCGGATCGATATGACATGACGGATCATCCGTGTAAACATGCCTTCCCGTTACACCTGTCGTGCCGTCTTGTGCTTCCAAGACACGCAGCAAAACACGGTTGGAATGTGACATAAATCCTCCTCGTATCTGCTGCTGAATTGTGGAATCATTTATCCCAGGAGGATGCAGCCTCTCTCGGGATAGACCTTGAATGCGTTCGGCCGCGTCCGAGATGTTTACATGGCCCAAAAGGCCACACACACACACGCGCGCGCCGCCAATATGTTTTGTATTTTCAGCCTTCCATCCACCTTCCACCGCTGTCATCCAAGACTGTCCCAACCCACTGATGCTGCCGCACAAGCTACCGAAAACAGGTCACAGGAACAAAAATAAAAAAAAAGAGTAAAAAAAAAAAAATCTGGACTTACTCAGTTGCAGATCCCTTTGCCTTCCCGCTGCAGACGTCTTCCAAACTCGCTGTTTTTTTGTATTTTTTTTTATTATTATTTATTTCTGGATTCAGAATGACCAAACACCCCCCCTCTCTCTCTCTCTCCTCCTCCTCCTCCTCCTTCTCCTCCTTTATTTTTTTCCCTCTTATAGCTGAGGTGACGCGGCAGGCAGCTCGCGCGCGCAGCCTGACGTTATAATGAGAACCCGACGGCTTCGTCTCGTGCGAAACCAGTCGCGCGGTGGACTCGGGAATCTCATGGGCGATAGGGCGTCGTCGGGAGCAGGTTGTGGTTTAGCTTCAGCCAAGAGGAAGAGAGAGAGAAAGAGAGAGAGAGGGAGAGAGAGAGGCAGACAGAGTGTGAGTGGTATGTGAAGGGGAGCGCAGAGGGGGGAAAGGATACGCCTCCCTGCCGTGGGGAGATAAAGGGGACCCTGGCCGCGCACGTTGATTGAGATACGGTTCCCCCTCTGCTAACGAGAACCATTGGTGTCATTCAGTCCTTATCATGTGACGCAAGGAACCGAGGCTGTGTGCTTCGGGGCTGTTTCACACCGCGCGTCAAAACACACACCACGTCCTTCTTGCATTTCGGAGAAGGCGCCATTCTTCCGTGTTTTCCTGTCCCGCCTCCCCATCTAGCGGCGGCGTTAGGCTCTGCCCCAAGACTCAACCGGGGGTTTCTTTTCTGCTACGTTAGCAAAGGCCATGCTTCGTGTGTGAGGTGTTCACAGACTTTAAGGTGAAGCCACTCGCTCGCTCGTGGATCCGCTATTTTCACTGCTCGCGTCACGACATTGCGTCCTAAATAATACCAGCTGGCTATAATTATTCTCACCTCTGCATCCCGGTATTGTCCAAAACATGTTGCACCTGCACCAAGCGTACAGCAGGTGGTGGTAGAGATCTAAATAGCTTTCATGGCCGCATTAAGTTTCCACGTATAAATGCCGAGAGCTGGCCAGATCTGGAAAACTGTATGAAACTTTAACTTCAACAGGAGGAAATGCTTTTAAAATAGATTTAGAAGAATTTTCTAAACACCAAAGAAGTGCATTAGGACTGATTTATATGTCTATAAAACGTCTAACGTTTTGTAAACACCTTTAAAATGTTTTTTTTTCTTTGTATATTACTACACCTACTGAGCTCCATATTGTTGACACATAGCAAGACAGAAAATATGTGGGACAAGATATATAATTATGCAGCCAAGAGATATTTTGCACTTATGACATAATTCCATACGTGTTCATGCAAAAATTGTGATGCTTTTGGTGAGAATTTAAAATGTATGCAGTCATTAAAAAAAAAATAATAATAATAAAAAAAATAATAAAAAACATTAAATGTGTAGGTGTGTAGGTAATACACCCATGAGGCCTACCCGGAGCAGCCACATTTATACTGAGACTAAATTACACAAAAGTGGAACTTATTTACTAATTTGATTTCTTCTAAACATATTTTGTGGAATTTCCTTTTATTTAGGGATAAAGGAATTAGCTAAAGTGCAACTTAAGCCGTAACCCACTATAAATACTAACTCATTTATTTAAAAAAAAATTCCATTTTAATTCCAGTTTCCGAGTTCTGACTTTGTGTTGGTCCATCACACAATATCCCTATAGATTATAGTAAAATTTTGTGTTGTGTGTTTTTTAAAAAAAAGGAACTGAAAAAGGGGTGTGGATACCACTGCAGCACTGAGTGTCTGAGTGAAGATGTGAGGCCGAGCTCTGATTTTCTGTTTCCCCTCCATATTTTAGGGAAGTTGTGAGTTTTAAAGTGGTATCAGATCTTAGTTTAGCATGTGGGTGTTCAGGGAATCCTGGAAGAATGTAAAAGTGGGTGAGAGCCAGCCAGGGAGAATACGAAGAAACGAAATCATACTGAAAGAGAGAAAAAAAAAAACCCACCAGCCTCACTGTCTGCTGCTCACTTCACGCACATCCATCCTTCTCTCCCCTCAAGCAATTTTCCATGTGTGTGTAGATCACACGACTGCATGTAGGAAGAGGATTTGGAGGAGGCACAGCACTCCTGATGGTGTGCATGTGCGTGTCTCTCTTAACATCATGATAAATACTGGTGACAGATGAGGGTCAGCCGTGTTTGGTTACTAAAAACCCTCCCCAAAATGTTTTTTGTTGTTGTTTCTCCTTGAGAAACACAATGCACCGACTCTACCTCAATTTGACAACGCCGAGGGACTGTAAAGAGACAAACCGTCTTGAGTTTGTACGTGATCTGCAACCAAAAGCAGTTGGGCGAGTGTCGTTACGCGTAAATGTATGCAAACAAGCCCATGTGTGTGTGTGTTTACGTGCGCCGTGGTTTGTGTGTTTGTGACTTTGGAGCCCTGGAGGCCAGCTCAGCACTTGGCTTCTTATCTCCCTCTCAGAACCCTGGTCGTGAATAAACATCTCCGGAATAAATATTTCCCAAAGTGAAAATAAACCGAGTGGAATTTGGAGGAGGCTGCAGAAAATCCACATCGGAGGAGGAGGAAGAGGAGTGGAGGTTGTGGAAGACGTGAATGGATGAGAAACTGAAATACTGAGGGAGGCAGCTGAGAGGCAGATAGAGGCTTCAGGGTGTTCCTCGTTTCCACGCACATGACCAAAAACAACCCCCCCCAAAAAAAATTCTACAAATTATTCATTTATTTTTCTATACTTTCATCTTTTTTTTATTTGCCTTGAGTTTCTCAATCTAACTCCATCCCTGTCCTTTTCAAAATGCCAGTTGTGTGTCTGTGGGCTACTGTAGATTGTTTTGCATTCTCCTGCGCTCTTGTGCCAGTGTGCGAGGGCGTTTGCAGGAGCTGAAGAGTTCTGTTTTTTTTGGTTACTTTGCTGTTGCTCCCACATTTAACGAGCTATTTCGTACAGTTCAAACCTATTTTAACCTGTTTCATGTGCTTTAGTGTATTTTATTTGGATTTTACGTAACAGACTAATGAAGAGCAGCACATGCTATTGTGGGGTCAAAAGAAAGCGATACAGGGCATCATCTTGTATGACCTGTTTACTGCGGTAAGAGCTGCAAGTCTTTTGGGGGTATCTTTTTAGCATCGTTGCACATACGCACTGAAGCTGTGACAGTGCCACAGATTCTCAAAAATGTACATAACTACGCTTTGACTGGGACACTATCAAATAACTGCATGCATTGGTCCAAAACGATGCTGCTATTTTTTCTTTCTTTTAAATCGTCAAGTTAAAAGTATTCACAGTCCACAATATGCCACTTTTTTAAGTTTTTTGCGGCATGATTGTGATTTTCACCATAACACTCTTTTATAATTCCCAGATTTATGCGAAGGGGCGACTAATAGTCGTGCTACCCACAGATTCATTAGCTGCAGATCTCTTCAGTCTCCTCCCTGACTGAATTTCATATGGTGATATCAAAGTTAAAGGTGCCAAAATCAAGTGAACATTATTATTTTCAGACTTTTACTCGTGTAAAGCCTGTCTTCATTTAGTTTTTCTTGAAAATTCTGCACTACTAGTGTTATTCCATTACAATTAATCCTAATAAATTAAAGAGAGTTTGTGGTATTAATTTGTCAAAACATGAGAAGGGGCCCTGAATAGTTTTACAAGACACTGTGTGTCTAACCGAAAAGAAATGCACTGCACAAGCACATAAAACATGTTTCTTTCACTATCTATTTTGCTTCATCCCAATTTCCTTTTTTTATTTACTGCATCACTTGCTATTTTTCTCCAAGGCAACAGAAAACTACCGACGAAGCAGACATACACACAGATGCACACCAGTCTGTTGCTGCCATGAATCTTCAGCACTATAATGATGGTCATGCCATGGAAATGTGTGAGAGGAAGTTTTTCTGTTCCCCACTCCAACCAGATAAACAGGCGGTATCATGGAATTACACACCTACAGTCCCTCTCCAGTCGTTTCATCTGCTCCCACACACAGATTGAGACAACGTGTTTGTGTTTAGAGGCTGTATGCTTTAATTTTTTAAAAAATTTTTTATTGAACTCGTGTATGCGCCTTGAGAAAAAAAAAAAAAAAAAAAAACCTTTCGTGGTTCCGGATCAGGCTGGCATCAGATGTAACAATGTGTTAATCGGCGCCTGTTGTTCAGATCAGCAAGAGCTGCGGTGAAGCCACTGATCCAGTTCTGGGCTCAGTTTGACGCCCCGGTCGAGCGACAGCTCTTTTATCTCCCCTCATGAAGTCACTGAAAGCTAAGAAAACCAATCTCTCCTTTTTCTTTCTTTTCTCCAAGCTGCTTAGATGGTTGCAGAATGCAGGTACGCAAATTCATGTTGAAAATCTGCTTCTGTACTGTTGGAATGGGCCGTGCAAGACAGAATTTGATGAGAGATGTCGTTGCACGATGCAAATCACAAAACGTGTTAAAAACATTCATCAGTGTTGAGGATTTGCTGGAAAACGCCTCTTTCATTTTTCGGCTTCAGCAAAAGTACGTGTGAGGTAATGACAACCTAAGTTTATTAGACATGGGAAGACAATATGCAATCGAAAGAAATGTTCCTATTTTTTTTTTCTCAGTTAGCACAGTTAAGACTTATTTCAGTATAGGGATGGCTATTTATTCAAAAATACATGTTGATAAAATGTCTCAAAAGACTCAATAAGTTTATGGCGGTACGACTCTGAACAAGTTAGCCATGATCTGGCCTAGTTAGTACCAGGAGCTTTTAACCCCAAAATATGTATCAATAAAAATAAAAACAGTTAGTATACAGATCAACATTCTGTACCTAAAAAGTGGTCGGTCCCTTGGATGTTTTTACCCTTTTTATTGCTTTTACAAATCAATCATGATTAACAAATTTAAGCTTTTTTGACATAAAAATGAACAAAAAAAAATCTGTCAAAGTGAAAATGGATTTTGACAAAGTAATGACAACAAAATGAAAATGTGTATCAGAAAATATGTGAGCGCGTAAATATTCACATCCTTTAAAGTGACTAAGCCAGTTCAACAAAGGTTCAATCAACTGGTGCTATTAGTCTCACAATGAGTGGAATAGAGATAATTTGATTGAAGTATAAAGACTGTGGTGTTTTGAAGGTCCAAAATTAATCATGAGTTGATGATATTCAAAATAATCCTGTTCTTGAATGTGGAGAAATAAGCATAATTATTAAGACAGGTCTTTAGCTGCACTTAGAGTAATATTTAGACAGTGATACATTACAGACATGATATTTCTCCATATAATCTTCTGTAAATTGTGAGATTTATTCAATATTAAAGTTCTCCAGTAAAGCTCCTTCTCTGCCTT